AGAGGAAATATCCCTCAAGATCTCTCTCTGCTCTGATCTGATTTTGTGCCATGAGTAAACATTCTGGTTTCTAATCTGGCTCTTTCATATCCTGAAAACGTGAAAAGGATACCCTAGGTCTGACCTAGGAAAGTCCCTCACAGTGGATGAGTACATTGGCACGTCTGGTTATGCACCCACCTTTTGGAAACTGGTGTGAGTTCACCTCAGTGATTACAAACAATTCTGTGTGGCCTGACCGAGTACATGCCCAGAATTCTAGAAATGAGGGATAACCCCTGGGGAGGAAGAGCAGCCAGGCGTTCGGAGAGGTCTCATAGCTCATCATATCAATAACGGCCCTGTCTGATCAGACCCAGTTAAATTCACTGAAGTGAGCAACAAAGGCATTCAGCCTGTTCTTTCGTCAGAGAAGACTGGCTAAAGGCCATAGTCCAAATATGTCGGTGATGTTAGGAACTCTAAGATGGATAGGACAGAGACCTAGACCTATTGAGTGGAACTGCTAAATAGACACATGATTTGTCACCAAAGAGTTTGGTCAGAACTTTCAATACGGCTGACTTAATGGTGGGATATCAAGTTAGATTGTGAAATACCTATTTTCTCTGTTCGGGGGTCAGAGTGCTTCCACCCCCCCCCACCTCCCACCCCCCCACCCCCTCCCCCCAGATCTGGAAAATGGATGGAACTGAAGGAATGGATTAAAGATTTATCAGTTCTATTTTTGTTTCTAGTGCTTGGGGTGGGGGTGGGGAGCTTAAGCACAAGAGACTTAATTAGCTCATTTAGAAAAATTTAGGGATTGAACTGGCCTCAGGCACCGCCTAAGGCATGGGATGCAAATGATATTACCAGGACCTGGTTTCTCTCAACTTGTCACTCTGATTCGTGTTTCCTTGAGTCTCATGCAGGTTCTCTCCTACTGAGGTCAGCAGATGACAGCAGCCATTCTCGATCTTCCTTTCTCAATACTTTACAGCAGGAAAGAAAGAGTCTCTCCCACAGAGCCCTTAATTATAGTTTGGTAATGTGCCCATCCTTGCACTTATCATTTGGACCAGGAATATGATTCTCTCATTGGTCAGTGTCATTTGATCCCTCTTGAGACCAAAAGTGGAGATGCTTTTGTTAGAAGTGCCTGGATAGATTCCCCAGATAGGTATTAGAATAGAGTTTCCAGGAGAAGGATGAATAGATATTGAGTAGGAGTCTAGGGGAGCTGATGATTTGGAGGTAGAAGAAAACCAAAGCAATAACATTTTCTGTGACTTCAGGAAAGATGTATGAACTGGACATCAAGATAGGAATGTTGCAATGTTATCATCACTCCCAAGACTCACTAACTTACTCTAGAACATACATTTGAGTGACTCAGTTATTCTGAATATTTACTTTACCTGATTCCCATATCCAGTGTGAATAATTGGTCATCTTCCTGACAGTGTCACCACCATTATTATACTCTTGGTTACATTGCATCTACCACTGAATGTCCTTGTCACTCAAAAAACCCTGAGAGGTTGTTTATGTAGGATATGCATACAATATTCAATCCTGTACTCGTACTAGCTTTTGAGTCCATTTAAAAGAATAGCTGAAATTTGAAATTATATATCTGTACCTCTTTCCCAGATAAGAGGTCATATTATATTTTGAGGAATTCTCACTAAAAACAGCTTTCTAATCAGAACACAGACCAAAATTAATGATTAATGAAATTGAGCATATTTTCATGCTGGGGGGTTATTTTTATATACTGTTTTGTAAAGTAACTGTCAAGTACTGTGTCTATTTTTCTATTTGGTCACTTGTCTTTTTAAAAATTGATTTGGAAGAGCTTTTTGTATATATTCTGGGTACTAGTAGACTTTTGTTGGATAAATGTATTACTATTATCTTCTCTCGCTCTTTAGATTATATTTTCATCTTCTTAGTGATATCTCTTAATGATTAGAACTTCTTAATTTTATCTGCTTTCTGCTTTTTTCTTTATTGTTAATATTTTTTGATTAGATTTAAGAAAATCTTTGCCCACTCTGACACCATCAAGATGGTCTCTGGGTTTTTCTCTACCCTGTTTTATATTTCACTGTTAGATCTGCAATCTATCTGAAATTGATTTTTGTTACAGAAGATATAGGGGTCAAGATACATTTTTTTCTTCCATATAAATATCTAATTGGCTGGACGCAGTGGCTCATGCCTATAATCCCAGCACTTTGGAAGGCCGAGGCAAGCAGATTGCTTGAGCCCGGGAATTCAGGACCAGCCTAAGCAGTTTAGCAAGACATGTCTCACAAAGAAAATAAAAAACTTAGCTGGACATGGTGGTGCATACCCGTAGTCCCAGCTACTGGGGAGGCTGAGGCAGAAGGATTACTTGAGCCCAAGAGATCAAGGCTGCAGTGAACTGTGATTGAGCCACTACACTCCAGCCTGGGTAACAGAGTAAGACTCCAAACTCAAAAATAAACAAATAAACAAATAAATATCTAATGAACCCAACTATCCCGTTTCTAAGATGGCATAGTATTGCTCAGGGACTGTACTTATCAATGGTAATTTTTGCCTAATATCCTTTCTGTTGTCTTCATTGTGGGATTTGACATATGCAGGTGGAATGCTAGAGTTCATTCTGTTTAAGAATATAACTTTCTCTCAAGTTACTGGGAAAAGTTGAAGAATGAAAGTGGTCCTGGCTTTGCATTATATTAATCAGGATGCACGCTCAGCTGCTATATAGCAGTGGGTTAAGCAACACAGAACTTTATCTCTCATCAAATAACTCAAGTAGTAGTCCAGGGCTAATTTGGTGGCACTATGATATCACAAACCCAGCCTCCTTCTGTTTTTCTTCTTTATGACTCAACACATGGTTTCTACCTCATGGTCTGTTCCGATCTTTGTCACTATATTCTCATTCCAACCAGCATTTAAGGGGAAAATGGACTTCATGGTAATAGTAATCCGGAGGTTGAGTACATTACTGCCATGTCTGTCCCCTTGGTCAGAGCTTTGCACTTGGCCACATCCAATTGCAAAGAAGGCTGAGAAATGCAGCCTTTAGCTGCGTGGTCATTATCGCAGCTGAAATTCAGGAATATATTACTAAAGGAAAAAAGGGTGAATAGTTATTGATGGTCAGTTGGTTTCTGTCATAATACTCTCCATCTATCATTGTAGATTTTTCCTCACTGTTCTCAGTCTGATGCAAAGAAACATAGTATTGATTATCTAAAGGTAAATATCTATTTGGAATTGATTTTTGTTACAGAAGATATAGGGGTCAAGATACATTTTTTTCAAGTCATTACTTGATCCTCTTTACATGAAGGTCAGCAGACCCTCAGCAGCCTCGTCCTGTATTGTTATCTGTTTTGGGGTCCTTTCATGAGGACTTTTTAATTGGAAAAGATCATGCCAATCACTTTTACAAGTGAGAGACATATAGGGATGACATCTCCATGATCATCCTGCAAGATGGTGGCAGAGCTGGAATTAGAATTCAGAGTCTTGCTTTTCCATCAGATGCCTTTTCCCACCAATACACAATGGATTTGCATTTTCTTTATCAGTTACTCAATTTGCCCAATATTGAGTAGCTACCAAAAATTCAGAATTTGGGAACAGGAGGTACTAGAAGACCTGATACATGGGTGGAAAGATTGGTACTTTTCACATGATTCATTTGAGGAAAAAAACCCAGTTTTTACTTATAATATAATAATATGAAGGCACTCAAGCACATGATGCACTGTGCAATTTTTGCCCTATAGTGAGTCTGACAGGTGGGGTTGATGGTCAGAGTTAGTGAATGTGTACCATTCATTTTTAAGAAAATAATTTGGGCTGGGCTTGGTGGCTCAGCCTGTAATCCCAGCACTTCGGAAGGCCAAGGCAAGTGGATTGCCTAAGCCTGCAGGTTCGAGACCAACGCAGGCAACTTGACGAGACCTTGTCTCTACAATAAATCAAAAATTAGCCAGGCGTGGTGGCACGTGCCTGTAGTTCTGGCTACTTGGAAGGCTGAGGTGGAAACGATCGCCAGAGCCCAGCAGGTTGATGCTGAGGTGGGATGATGCACTCCAGTCTGGGCAATAGAGTGAGACTCTAACTAAAAAAAAAGAAAAGAAAAGAATTTTAATTTTCTAAGTGTCTCCTAATTAGAAAGTAAATGCTGATAGCACTATCTTATATGTAAAGACATTTTTTGTTCAGTCCTTAAGTAAATAAAGAAGAGAATGATTTCAGGATACAGAATTCATGTAGCATTTAGTCTTATGTTCATTTATTTTTTTCTTCTGAATCTCATTAGCTGCAACTCTAGATTTTAAGGTATAGTTCAAAAGGTAACTTGTCCACCATTCCTTTAGTTTGTTTTCTCAAGTGTAAATCTGATGTGTTATTCCTCTTATCATTGACTCCTGAAGGCCCTAAAGCTCAGTTCCAGACTCCTTTGCCTGGCATGTCAGACCTTCCATAATCATGCCCCTATTTACCTGTCCCATCCCTCTGCTCACCTCCCACCCCACATTCCCTACACATACCCCTCTCCAGCCCTACTGAGCTATTTGCAACTCCCCAGGGCATCAAGCACCCTCTCGCCTCTGTGTGTGCACAAGTATTCTTCCTTCTTTCTGCCCACTTCTTATCTTGCCATCACCCAGCCATCTCTCCTTCATTAGGTCTCAGCTAAAACATCGCCTCCTCCAGGAAATCTTTCTTGACATCAAGACTGGATTGGGTACTCCTTCTTTGCTCCCTTAGCACCCTGCCTCTTGCCTGTTATGGCTGTCATCAGCCTGTGCTCTTTACTTGGCTGTTTGCCTTCAGGTGTCCCAGACAAGACCAAAAGTTCTCGAGTTCCCAGTTATAATATCAACAGGGCAGGCCTTCTGTTTTCACAGCTGTACTCTGGGAGCTTAGCTCAATAAATATTTTTTGAATGAATGAATAATGTGTCACTTATAATTTGTTGCTTTCTTCTATTTCCTCAGAATTACAACCGGCCTCCTGTGATGGCATTAGCCATCCCCATTGCAGTGAAATTCCTCCACAGAGGCAACAAGGAACTGTGCAGGAATATGTCTAACTACCTGTCCCTAGCTGCTATCACCAAGGCGGAGCTCCTGGCTGACCACACGGAAGTTTTCATAAAGAGCATACTCCAAGGTATGGTGCAAAGGCTGAGCTTCAGGACGTGCTTTAGGAGTCGTTTAAAAGTATTTTCATGAAACATTTATGGTTTGAGAAAAATGAGACCTAGAGTATTTAGAGGCAGGTTAGTTTCTGCTTTGCTGCTAGGTGACTTAAGAGCATGCAAGTCACATGGGCTGTCTGAGTGAATCTGTCTCTCCCCATGGCAAATGAATTACTTGGACTCATTAGATGAGTTGTAAGTTTCCTTCCAACTCCACATTTCTCACTTGGGAAAACTATGTTTTCCAGGCTTCTGGTCATCTTGTCCAGCTACTGGCCATGGAGAGCTTATCTCTATACATCAAGTGGAGTGTGTCCCACAGCTTTTGGTGGTAGATGGAAAACCTCTTCTTCATTTGGTTTCCAAAACCACAAAATATCTTTTGTTAGATAAAAGACACCAGAAAACATGTAATGATGCCTTAGATGTGTATATGACTTGGTACTGGTTTACAAGTGTGTTAAGTATTAGTATGAAAAATCATATCAGGACACCTCTGGTAGTTGTTCCAACATTTGAATGGAAGAGAAGGTCAAGTTAGTCCATGCAAAATATTCTCCGTGTCTTTTCTTTTTGCATTTGGTTGCAGATCTATCAGAAACTATGTTTTTTGGATGTGGGGTCAGAGAACAAGAGATGGTATTGTTTGATATGTTCCCTCATTAATAAGAATGTGGGAGGTTCATGAGTATCTCAGCTCACAGTTTACTGACACAACCCTCCATATGCTTAGATTGGACATTAATCCCCTGTAAAGTGCTCACAGTCCAAATATTTCTTAGGGTCCCCAAAGGTGTCAAGGTGTCCTACGTGTGCTTTCTTCCCAAGGTCTCTTCCCAAGACCAGCCCCCAAGCCCATGCTGCTGTTCCATCCATGCTTCCTCACATAGCATGCTGGGAGGCTGTTCTTCCCTGCCAGAGCCCAGCAGACCCTGAGGCTGTTGCAAAAAGTCCCAGAAATGGACTTGACTCCTAGGGACCCTATGCTGCCCTGCCAGCGATGGCAGCCTCTGCACCTTTATGCAGAGCCACCTGAAGCTTCAGGAGCCACCAAGTCCTCAGCCCACTGACTGCCTGTGACAGGATGGGCAAGAACACCGGTCTTTCTCTTTGGTCTTACACAAAGGCCCCAGAGCAGTGCCAAACTGTGTTACCATGTTTGTATTAAAACAAATGGCTGTTTCGTCTGAAACTCTCTTTTGTTTCCCTGGGCTCGACTATCTCCCCAGGAATTTGGGTTACCAATAAATTAGTCCTCCATTGTTCAAAATACCTACTGCCTTCCGAGAACTAAGGTTTTGTTCCTAACTTAAGCTCTTTGACATTCCTAAGGCAGGTTCTTAACCCCACCTCCAGATTTCTGACCAGCCACCCAGTGGTCTGCCAGACACTCAGATATATCTCTGCTCCAGTGTGATTGTCACTGTAGTCTATCACTCAATCTGTGCTCCTGCTAAAGATTTGACATTATTAACACTAGTCAGTATTTTCATTTCTCGTTTCCTTTGACCGAGTTGTTCATTTCACTTTATATATGATGTTGAATTTGCTAAAAGTCCAGAAAAGCAATTATGCTTTTTTTTTGCCACCTTGGCTACATTTTTGGAACAGATTTTATAGATGTTACAAACACTTACACACACCACACATTTTAAAACCATGATAATCAGACTTGTAAGTAACAGATTTATGAAAAAAAAATTGAATTAGCTTCATATAGCTGCCAAGAACTTAGCTCATCTATTTGTGTTTTTTTTTAAGGCTTTTTCAGTGACAAAGAAGTCTTTGAAACACAAAATACATTTCCTAAATTCACTGCAAGCATTTGAAATAAACAAATGGTTTGGTTTATTTGATCTGGCACTATGAAAACTATCATATTATAGATGGTAATTTGACCAATAAAGGGGTGGGGCTGCATATTTCAGGGTTTAGATTTTTAAGACCAATGTAACTATAAAACTCTATTATCACTCACATGAGCCCATCAAACTTTGAGTTGCAAAGCAGAGGGGATATTGCTGTCTCTGAGAAGTACATTTTCTGCTCTGTAAATCTTTGTCTTACATCCCCTGCCAAACAGTGTTAGGACCCACCGCTGGGATTTTTTTTTTTTTTTTTACATTACCTGTAGTTTTCTCCCCTTTAGGCCTTCTTCTTTGACTTATAGTATATTAATCCTCATTTTTTCATATTTCTACTTCTACAAAAACATTGGATGGTCATCGCTTCAACTATGATACTAGCCATTATAACAGCATTAATAATAACATCAATGGCTAAAATGTGTTGCATGTGTTTTTTTTATGTCAGATACTGTCTTAAACCATGTATACCCTTTGTATTATTGAATGCCCATAAGAATCTTATAACAGAAGTCCTATTATTATCCCATTTTATCAGTTAGTAGTATTTTTAGTAACAGAAACCAACAGGTATAAATGGCTTGATGGTTAAAAAAAGAAAGAAAGAAAGAAAAGGAGAAGGAAGAGAGGGAAAAGGAGGAGCAATCTCTCCTCATTGGCACAAGAACCTGAAAAACCCATGAGTATTCCAGACTTCCAATATGGCTGACTCAGGTGCTCATCTCTGCTTCTTGTGGATGGTTTCACTTCCATGCTCATGGTGTGGGCCTCATAGCTTCCAGCTAACATCTTCATGTACACCTGTTAAGCAAAAGAAAGTCCATAGTCTCATTTTCTCTGTTTGACCTGACACAGGACACACAACCATTTCTGAACTAATCCATCATTGTTGCCAGGGAATGCTGTACTTCAGTTGGCCCCACTTAGGTCATGAGCCACCCTCAAAGCAGGAGATGGGAGTCAGCTGCAGCAGAGCCACATGGATGAGGAGTAGAGGAGTAGATTCCCCAAAAGAAACCCAAGGCCATTGACAACTGTGAGTGAATGAATATTGGGGATGGAAAAAAACACAAATGTCCACTGTAACATTTTATAAACAAGCAAGCCAAAGCTTAGAGAAGTAGCAAGATGCAAACCCTGACCATTTCATTTGAAATCCTACCTTTACAATAGAATCTCAACTCCACCAAATACTAGTGGTAATTGTGTCTTTCTGAACCTCTGTTTCCTCATACGTAAACAGAAATGTTGAGACACACGATAATGCCAGAACAGAGTCAACTTTCAATAAATATTAGCTAAGATGGTGATGATGATAATCATGACTGCCTGTCTGTAGTTGAATGCCTTTATAGTGCCAGGGAACTATTTCCTGTGGCAACCCACTTTACCTCTGGACAGATCTGAGTATCCGATATTTCTTCCTTTTGTTGAATTACGAGTTCTCGCCCTGGAGCCTCCCACTTTTGACTAAGGCCCTCTACTTGAGTGATAACACATAATTCGTCTTTTACATGACAATTCGAAAATTGGACCACAACTTTCATATCTCATCACCCCTCCCCTCTGCCGTTCCCTCATTTCTTCCTCAAATATCACATCTTCAGTTTCCCTCTCAGTTCACTCACTTGGCAGGTGATGACTTGATTCTGCAGTCATTGCAAGATGTACCCTGCTCCTCCCCTGCTTGGTTGCTCTTCCCTGACTGCGTTCTGGTTTGCCTGTGGGCATCACACAGCATGGAGTCCATGGCTGAGGACAATATTCCAGCTTCGGTCTTGCCTGTGAGGAGTAAAATGGATTTATCTCCTCTGTCTAGAGGCTATAATTGCCTTAGTGGAACCTAAAACCAAATTTACTTTTTTTGTCAATCATATCTTTGATTTCTATTGACTTCTATTCGAAATCTGCAACTTTTAAAAATATAAATTGTTTTCACATATTCAGCAGTTTCTACCATGCTCTTTGTTTAGTGGGTTTTATGAGTTATATTTAAGTGCTCAATTTTAACCCTTTATGCATTTTTCTTATGAGATTTAACCCATTGCTTTAGCATGCCAAGATCTTATTGGATAATGTTTCTTCCATTTCAGTGTATCTGCAGCTCTTCCAAGGCTCTTTCACCTGTATATTTTATGAGTAGAACCGCTCTGGTCTTTATTTTAAAACACTGAGGAAAGCTGAGCAGATGGGGCCAGGAGAGCCTTGTGTTGTATCAATGGTGTCTGCCCCTTAAGACATGTTGCCATTATTTCATTGGTCATATTTTTTGCAATTGCATTATATGTATGTCTGTCCCTGGTACCTTCTTTATGCTTATCAGTCAATTATGAGAGACTTTTTCCAGTGGGATGTGTATTTATCCCTAATGGGCAAATATTTAAATAGTTCCAACCAATTTTTGCTACTTCTTATTATCAATGATTGTATGCAGGTAAAGTTTACTTTTACATTAAATATAAACACCAATTTATTTTATTCAAATTGTTTATACTCCATTTATCTGTTTTGTGTTTTCTGAATTTTCCCAGTTAAGAGGAAATTGTAAGAGCTCCTTCCTTTTGGAGGAAGGATTAAAGACAAAAGCAGAGTGTTACCTTGATTTGTACTTGAGAGCTAAAGGGACAAAATACCTAAATACTTCTATGTTAAATAAGACAATTGTATTAGTATTTTAAAACTCCCCCACTAAAAAAGATGTAAAAGATGTAAAAATTTTCATTTTACAGGCAAATTTTAACAAATATGCAGAGTAGATCATTACAATCTTACCTAAACTTTTCCAGATAATTGGAAAAGAAGTGCATTCTCCAACTAATTGACCCCCTTTATCATGGCAATAATAATATGCACCACGTGGAATGGATGAGGCTTACATAGATAAAACATCTATACTTTACATAATGCTGGGCTTATAGTTCATCGACAGTTACCATTATTCTTTTTATCATCATCATCACCATCATCATCGTTGTTGTCATTACTGATTGAGTATCTGCCATGTTCCATGTCCATATTAAAAAATCTTTTTTTTTTTTTTGTGTCGGAGTCTTACTCTGTCACCCAGACTGAAGTGCAGTGGCACGCTCATGGCCACCACAGCCTCAACCTGCTGGGCTCAGGCGATCCTTCCACCTTAGCCTTTCAAGTAGCCAGAACCACAGGCATATGCCACCACACCCAGCTAATTTTTTTTTAAATTTACTGTAAAGATGAGGTCTCACCAAGTTGCCCAGGTTGTCTCAAACCCATGAGCTCAGGCAATCCTCTTACCCCCACCTCCCAAAGTGCTGGGATTATAGGCATGAACCACCATGCCCAACTCAGAACTATCTTTATCATGAAT